AGAGAGAGAGAGAGAGAGAGAGAGAGAGAGAGAGAGAGAGAGAGAGAGAGAGAGAGAGAGAGAGAGAGAGAGAGAGAGAGAGAGAGAGAGATTGGTGTGGTGCTCCTTTGTTGGGAAGAATCAGGTAACTTAGTATCTTGCCTTCCTGAAGGATGAATTCTGTAATTTCTGTCCGATGGGCCAGCAGCACCTTCTGTGCAGTTAGAATCCAAAAAGAAGAAGACGAAGATGAACAGCAAAACACACACTTGAAATTTTGAGAATACCAGAATTAAGTAATTTACACCATTATGCTCGAGAATATAACATATCCAAAAGAGTGTTCCTGAAGAGATTATCTTAAATGGCTAGGTGGTGTTTAGGTACAAGAACCTTTTGCCTTCCCAGTTTCTTCAGCTAGCATTGTCGCTCCTTGACTGTGAAGTGCGAGCATCCTCAGCACATCCAAAACTGGAACACAGCAAACAGAGCAACACATTCAACACATTCAGTACCTGTCCATGGGCCTCGCTCGACTATGCTACTCTCGAAATGTGCAATATGATAGCGAGTCTTCTGCTAGAACATGGAAAGATACACCGCCATGATTTTTGTCGTTTGTGCATGTCGAGAGTAGCAGAGCGAGGCCCTATTTAATTTTGTTATGAGAGCATTACCCCCAACAAGTTTGGCAAAAACACGCAACCATTGTGTTCAAGATGACGACACCCAAGCGGGAGGGAGTAACCACATCATATCCCCTGATATTACCCATCTCGCACGCATCCCACCCCCTCCCCCACCCACCTCCTGCCAACCCCTGCGAAACCTCCTCCTTGTGTTTCAAGAAGAGCATAAATCGAGAAACGTTCCAAATTTCTAATCCAACGGTGAGGATATTTGCCTTCGAAGCAAAAGACCAGCATTCGGCTGCGCAGACAGAAGGGAAAAAAAAAAAAAAAAGAAGTATACACTCCCTCCATATCCAGGTTGAAAACCATTCTCCACATTACCTCACGTGGGCATCATTCCCGTATTCCATGCACTTATGGCCCCTGCATTGTATTTCTTCAATTAGTCCCTCAGAGCCCTCTTTCTTTCATGGCTTGAAATGAGGGGGGAGGGGGAGGAGGGAGGGAGAGGGGGGGTCAGTGCAAATGATGGTATCTCAAGGCCAATGCCCTTCCCAAAAGAAAAAGAAAAAAAAAAGAAAAAAGTAATTGATAGGACAAGGGTAGACAAACGATTTACAGAATAATTGATCGAAACCGAAAGACTTACCTGGGAATAGATAAGCTGGAGGCCAAGCGAGGAGTTTTTTCAAAAGGACGAGATCTGCATGAGCAAATGTACTTGCATGGTACCGTGATGTATCCTGAAGAGTTCTGATGAGAATCTGAAGTCGTTCTTTTTCTGCAGAATCCATAGCGTGGGCAGCCAACGCCTTTCACCCCCGAGCCCAGCCATACCAAGATCAACAACAAACAGTCAGCAAGTGTGGTCACAACCAAGCAGCTGAGGCCTTTTGCCTCCGGACCAGTCAGACAAAGACCACCACCAGGCGGTCGGCAATTGTGGTAGAACCCGGGCAGCCAAGGCCATTCACCCCCGAGCTCAGCCATACCAAGATCAGCAACAAATAGTCAGCAAGTGTGGTCACTACCGAGCAGCTGAGGCATTTCACCTCCTGCCCAATCAGACAAAGAACAGTGCCAGACAGTCGGCAATTGTAGTACAACCCAGGCAGCCGAGGCCTTTCATCACCGAGGCCAGCCATACCAAGATCAACAACAAATAGTCAACAAGTGTGCGCCACAACCAATCAGCAGAGGCCTTTCGCCTCCTGCCCAATCAGACACAGAACAGCACCAGGCAGTCTTAAACTTCTTTCCCTGCTGATTGTCCGCACCGACGCATTCATTATTGGATACTCGGCGGAGGTTTCAGCATATAGCCAGATTTGCCTTTAACATTACTGTGTAAGCGCCCCAGATAAGGCATCCCCCCCAGATAAACTACCCACCATGCAAGGTTCTACCAAACCAATTGCTTTGGCAGTTAGACACCCTTAGATGAAAGAGTGGTATGATAGAACCCAGGCAGCCGAGGCCTTTCACACCCAGTCCATCCATACAAGTAACCACCACAGACATACAGCAATGCTTGAAACAACATGAATGGCGTGACATTCCTGAAGACTGCCAGCAATAGGGCCTCACTCCACTACTCTCGAAAGATACACCGCCACGATTTTTGTCTTCTGTGCATGTCGAAAGTAATGGAGTGAGGCTCATAGTCTGAAGTTACTCCTACCCACCCCATGTAGATGAATGGTACACACATGTACTCTTAATCAAGGGGTCTGGAGCTCGAATCCTGATGGGGACTCTGATGAATAGAATAAGGTTAGGGGCTACCCACTTCCAAACACACACTGAAGCTCGCTTCATCTGTAGGGTCCACAGACCGGGCACTTTTTCAAACACATCCATGCAAAGAGAACAGGTCTCAGGCAAGGTCCGGGGCATATCCCAGGCAAGGTTCGCAGCACAAAATCCAAAAACTTTTAAAAGATTACAAAAAAACAAGGGAAAAATGATCAAATTAAATAAAAAATATATGTTGTGTAGATTGCACTGCAAAGTTGTGCAAACAACTTTTGACTGAAGGTAACCTCAGAATTCCTAGTTACATCGAAGATAAAAAAGAAAATAAAATTTTCAAATCAAACTAAGGCACCATGTGTTAAGACTTTAAAGTTTAAAACCTTATACCCCTTAAGCCCTCTTAAAGTTTAAACCATGGTTGCATCCCTGCCGACCGCCGACCCCGACCGCCGACCGTATTGCAGCCGACCAGTAGGGCCGACCAGTCAGAAACACAACCATCCACTGATTTTTTTTCAGATCTGAGTTGGAAGCTGTACTGTGCTTGCTGAGTACAGCCCAAATCCGCTGAGAATTTTTTGGGGATGGGGGGGGTTGCTGGAGGGGTGTATAGGGGGATATAGGGGGGTATAGGGGTTCTTGAGGGGGGTATAGGGGGTCTTGAGGGGGGTATGAGGGTGTTGGGGGGCGGTTTGTGGGTGTTGGGGGGGTGTATGGGGGTATTTGGGGTTGGTATGGGGGTGTTCATTGGGTTATTAGGGGTTCTGCATTTTTGCGGGGTGCCGACGACCCCCGACCAGTAGGTGCCGACCAGTCGACCAGTCAAGGACCGCCGACAGTCGGGTTGTGCAACACTGGTTTAAACCTCATTTATACCCCCTTTCCTTTCCCCAACCAACAACACAGAAAAGAAAAACCACAGTCCGGATTTGGGCTGCTTCCAGTGGGGGCAGAAATGCCCCATCCATCCAAAATGAAAGAACTTCAGAGTGTCAGTGTTCTGTCCCAGTACGGGTCCCAAGGTTCCAAGTCCCACATAACATAAAGTACCAGCACGGTAAGATAGGTAGGTCCCCTTTAGTCTTTAGGCCAGTAGGTTACCAGTCCAACCAAGTCCAGTCCTGTACAGTGAAGTCCCGTACAGTCCAGTCAGTGGAGCAAGTGCCAAGAAAGTCAGTGAAAATTCCGGATGCATCTATCCCGACCGTGGCCAGCAAGTGACGGTGCCAGTCGGGAGAGACTGAGGTTGGGAAACTGAAGCATCGCATACAAGAGTCCACCAGAAGTGGGCATCAACATGTTTGCCAGTCGTGTGTGCTGCAGAACTGCTGTTGTGGCCTTATGCAACCAAACATCGAGTGAGGCTGGAGTTTGGAAGAAGTCGCTGTAGTTGACATACACTGGGTGCCATACCCGTAGTTGAGTGAGGGTGTGACTAGGGGAGACATTCACACACACACACACACACACACACACACACACACACACAGTTCTTAGTTGTCGTTGCTCAGAGAGAGAGAGAGAGCTCTTGGTTGTCGTTATTCTGAGAGAGAGAGAGAGAGAGAGAGAGAGAGAGAGAGAGAGAGAGAGAGAGAGTTAAGAGTTATTGGTTGTCGTTGCTGGTGGCCATAACCGCCAGCCTGTACAAACAAACTTGTTGAAGAAGACCAGCTTCCAAGCAGTTTTCCATGTTGGCTTTAAACTTCCATTTGACAAAGTGTGCGATTTGTGTGTTGTGAATTGCTGTTTGGATTGTGGGCTTATTGCAAAACAAAGGAGAAAAAAAAAAACCTGGGTTTATTACAGCCTGGATTGATCTGGACGGGAGGTCCCCTGGGCAAGCCGCCCGATGACCCGGCCGAGCGCTGCAATTAACCTAGAGGTAAACAGTTCAAACCTCAAACTTGAAAGCATTGTGCGGTTGGAGAGCCATTGATGGAATTTCCAGAACTCACCGAATCGCCAGCAAGGATGCCATTAAATTCATACAATTTCTTCTGAATTCCATCAAACTGAGCACTGTCAAAGTACAGATACCCTCTCTGCAATAAATTTGAATAAACACAGAATAAAAACTGAGCACTGTCAAAGTACAGATACCCTCTCTGCAATAAATTTGAATAAACACAAAAATACCATAAGAGTCATAGACACATCGAAGTCCTTCCGTCTTGTCTTTTTCTGAAAGTCTGAAAGAAAAAGAAACAAGAAAATTGTTGCATTTAAGTGACCATTCTTCCGTCTCGTCTTTTCTGAAATTCTGAAAGAAAAAGAAAGATGTGAGGAACAAGCCCTCAAGGGGCCCTATCAGACATCACATGTTCTGGGCTAAGGCCCCCAGCAAGCCGAGCGCCCACCCTAAGTGAAGGTGGGCCTGAATATTCGTCAGAGGCCAAAATTCGACATTTCCATATGTGGGTATTCAGGCTCTCGCAGCACGCCAGTTGGTTGGGTAGACGCGTGAGCCTCACATTGTTGCGTCATACAGTTGGCCCAGGCCTTGACAGTTGCGCCTGGGCACATACACACAAAGCAGGGCCGATACATTGGGAAGCAGGCCATTGACCTTTGGAAAAGCAGTTCCGTCGACGCACCTGCCGGGGAGCCCTGCACAGATGCAGCAAACAGCCCAAGTCCGGAGACTCAGGCCGTGCCCAACTGAAAGGGGCCCAGGCCCTCAACTGTAGTCTCGGGCCTGGGCACAGGGTCTGAGGCCCCAACCGGAAGCTACTGGAAGCTTCCAGCCAGGCCACACGCAGCATTCAGGAGGCTGCTACTTCCATAAAAGAAGTGAGGCAGCCCAGGCCAGGCATTCTGGCCAGTGCAGGCAATGCGGAAGTGCTGCTGCGCTTAAGCTTGATGCTGCGCTGCTGTCAAGGGCGCTGACGGGGCGCGTGGTGGTGAAGTGCGGTGCTGCAGGGCAGCAGGGCGCGTAGTGGTGAAGTGTGGTGCTGCAGGGCAGCGGGGCGCAGGCGGCCATAGCCGGGCTGCTGGGCGCCAGGGGGTACAGCGGGTGATCTGGTGGTCTTCAGGGAAGGATGCGCAGTGTGGGGTAATCAAGGTCTGATTGAGGGTGACGAGATACGTACCTGGTGCATGAAGAGAGTCTGGCTATGGAGTTGACAGTCATGTACATTGGTCTTCGAGAGTCGAAGTGAGCCTGTTGCGTGAACCAGCTGTAGGTAGGATAGTCGGGCAGAGTAGGTTGGGCGCTGGGCGCCAGACAGAGTGGAGCGACTTTGGATACTGTGTTGGTGTGGCCTACAGGCTTGAACATTGGCTCATTACTTCATTGTATTGCTCTATATGGATGGTTTCTCGGTGCATTTTGTACTCTGTGCTTGGATACGACTACCTGGACATCTGTGTGATTTCGCAACATTGGTTTTCTGTATATCATTCACACTCATATTCCTTGCAAAGAGCTAAATTGCGGCATTTAACACCTGGCGGAGGCTGGGAAGGAAGAGCAACTTTCGACAACCAGCCAGTAGGGACAAGCCAGCCTTCTCAGTCGGTGAGCCCGCGGAAGTACTCCCCGCACAGAGCAGAGGTCAGGTCAACGTATAACTCTCAGGACCGGCCAGCTTGTCTGCACACATGTTCATTGAAAAAATGCAACTAGACTAAGAAGTAGATAGGTAGGTAGGGGAGGATATACTGAGAGAAGAATATAGGGTAGTCTTTGAAAAAAAATAAAAAAAATTGAAGTAAATGCTGCATTTATGCCATTTAATTCTCAATCACACCTGCCTTGTAGCTGAAACCCTGTAGTAACCACATGCAATTGTTAATTACCAGATTGTGGAAGGCACAGTCCTATAAGGGACTAATGGTCACTAACCCCCTTTCAAGTTTGAAGTTTAAAGTTAAGACTTTAAAGTTTAAATTTGAAAAAAAAAAAAAAAACTACTTGAAAGTTGAAAACTTTGATAGTGTAATCTGAATAACGAACGAATTTTTGTTAAAAAGTTCAAAGGAGTTAAAAAGTTTTTAGAACCTTCAGAAAACTTCTAAAAATCCATTCTCAACTTCCGCAAAGTCACATTTTCAATTTTTCTCACGGTGACGATTCGGACGATCCTGCACAACGAGCCTTCAACGAAACTTCCCAGAAAGACGTCAGCAGATCATCTGATGGTTTCCTACACAGGATCCTCAGATTCCTGACAATCCGCTGACAGTACGTCGATAGTTCCCTGTCACTGACATGAAATTTCGGTGACAGTTCGGTCGGTTACATGAACTTACATCCTTGTTGGTTATTTAAGAGATCCTCACAGATCTTCAACATCATCCTGTCTTGCAGAACCGAGAGCCGCTGAGGCTTCTTTCTTTTTTTTTCCTGAATTGTTTTCAACTTTTTGAAAATGTTTCTCGTTTTTCGGAGAATGCCAATCTCTGCCGCACACCTGTCTTGGCAACTCGTATGGCGCAGACCCAAGAATTACCAGTGGGGAGAAAACAGAAACGCAATGCAGTGGAAGCCGGAAATCAACCAGTCTGACTCGTGGGAAACAGGGCACGGACTTTACACTCGTCACAAGCAGTGAGATAGCAATGAGGGGGAGACATAAATGGAAGAAAGGTCCCTCCTTGCTCACAGATGATCACGGGGAGAGAAATGGATGATGAGGGGATGGAGAAGACAAAGTAGAAGAGGACGACAAAGATAAAGGCGAAGCACAGAATCCCTCTGCCTCCAATCGCTTCCCAAAACACGATGTCAAAGTCTGAACCAGGAGATGTCTCTCGAGGATAGTTGTCATGTCTCTCTCTCTCTCTCTCTCTCGAGGATAGTTCCCATGTCTCTCTCTCTCTCTCTCTCTCTCTCTCTCTCTCTCTCTCTCTCTCTCTCTCTCTCTCTCTCCAGATACTGAGCAGTGAAAGGCACTGCCTTGAGTTCCTGCAGGTCGCAGAGTGAGAGCCCGGCTATGGCCGGCCAAGCTCCAAGCTATGGCACCAGGGTGAATCCTTCCCTGACCTCCCTCTCTCTCTCTCTCTCTCTCTCTCTCTCTCTCTCTCTCTCTCTCTCTCTCTCTCTGTGTGTGTGTGTGTGTGTGTGTGTGTGTGTTTTAGATTTTCCCCACAACAGCCCCAATTCCACCCAGGTGAATAGATTGTATGTGTGTGTGTGTGTGTGTGTGTGTGTGTGTGTGTGTGTGTGTGTGTGTGTGTGTGTGTACGTGCAGATACTGAGCAGTGAAACGCACTACCTTGAGTCCCTGCAGGTCGCGGAGTGAGAGCCCGCCTATGGCCGGCCAATCTCCAAGCTATGGCCCCAAGGCCCCAAGGTGAATCCTTCGCTTCCCTATACATTCTCTTCCCCTTCCTTCCACCCTCCAGAGCCCTGGTTTACCCCTCTCTTCCTCTCTCCATGAAACTAGCAATTCCAAGAAGATGGCTTTCAGGTAAGCGCCATCACTGCCGGACAGTTGAACTGCAGCACCACCCTCACACAGCACCAGGCAAGCATCCACTTCCTCCGTTGGTGCCAACTTATAGGGGTCCACCACTTATTACCAAATGTGCAAAATGAGGATGGATCTTCCGCTACAACGTGGGAAGATACACCGTCATTATTTTTAGCTTGTGCATGCGGTGAGTAGTGGAGTGAGGCACATAATAACCCTTACAGCTTGCTTCCACCTCCATTTACCCAGGTCTCCAGCTCCTGACCACATCTTCTCTTTTTACAGTACCGCCAGTACACGGCCCCAGCCTTTCTGAAAAGAAAACTCGTCGCCTACAAAATTTCCAGAGGCCCAGCGCCGTAGATAAATCGAATCGGCGGCAGGCGGCCTCCGAAAAGGGCCCGCGGCCGATAGCTGGATGTACTGGTGGTTTACGAGTGAATGGCCGGTCTCACGTGATGTTGCTTCACACCAGACCCGATCAGTCACTGGACCCGGAGGGACCCAGGCCAGAGGCTTCTGCTTGTGGCTTTGTTTTTCGCGGGCAGACTTTTTCTTGCTGTTCTCAAACTTTTCATCCTTTCACAACGCTAAAACCTGCAAGATGGGATTTGTGGCCTGCTTTCAGTCTTGTTCGGTGCACGTCATTTCGTTTTTTTTTTTTTTTTTTTTTTTTTTTTCGCTTGCCCATGGCCTGTATACACCTGTGTTGTAGACCAAGTACATTTTTGTGGCGAGCATGGGCTGTTGGGACATGCGGCTCCTTTGCAGTTAGTTTCCCTTGGTGTGTGTCATACCGATCTATCTGTACAGAGTAACAACATTTTAGTCAGATGGTCGTGCGTATCGACTACGTGCATTTAGTGACAGGCGCGGTTGGGTGTTTCAGTTTGGGGCAGGTGGGATGTATGGCCCACCACTTGACAGACACACACACATGCACGACAAAAGCTAGTAGAGATTTTTGGGAGGAGGGGAGTGGGCATGCAATGCAAGTTCAGATTCACAAGGTGGGGGTTCATGGATTCATCAGGCCACTGGCAACATCGCCGGCCAACCGCAATTCCCCCCCTCTTTCCTCCCCCATCCACGTCTAGCATTCCTTTCTTCAAAACGGCAGGCAGAGGAAGGATCCCCTTCCAAATGAATCTCTGAGTCCATCAGCAGTACGGACGTACAAAATCACAATCTAGGAAACAGGATAATATGCCTCAGGAGGGGGTGCTCATATCACCCCGCCTAGCGTGGCGGCGTGGTTTTTATTAAAAAAAAAGAAAAAAAAAAGGGTAACATACCTTGGGGACATGCTTTAGACTGGTTTGTCCGGTTGCTGTTGAGGTGTGTGAATTCTGAGCAGCAACTGAAGAGCCCGAGCCCCCTGCAAGTAAAGAAATACGATATTAGTATCGCATAACCCCCAAAAGTTTTGTCAGATTCGTTACACTGTCAGTGTTCGGAAAGCCCGCTCACGCTGACAAGTTACACATTGTTTTGTGGCAAATGGAGCGCGCTGATCTGACTCAAACAATGCAATTGCAGATCTCAAGTCTTTGTGGTTTAATTTAAATTGATCATCAATACAAAAAGAAAGTAGTTCAGAAAACATATAAAAAGGGGATCCGCATGTAAGCCATGCATTAAACCGCAAAAGTACACTCCATCTGTTCGAGGCGAGCCAGACCACATTTTCATCGAATATAAACTTGGTGTGGGTCACGAAGTGTCAGATTGTGAATTCGAGAACATGGGTATTTTTACTATTTTATAATTCTGTTCCGGCTCCTCGGGGGCTCGGCCTGCCGTTTGGAAAAGGCTGGCTGTGATGGAAATACTAAGACACATTTCACATCCACGCCAATGCAGCAAAACTTGGTGCGGGGTAGAATCAAAGATTTACTACTTCACCATAATGGGGAGGAGCATTGGGTGGGTACAAACTGTACTTTCCTTTTGACTTGCTGGTGGAATAGGAACTGGACAGATGCTCCCCAAAATGGTGTAAGGTTCTGGCTCCGTGTCACTTGCAAAAAAAAAAAAAAATAATAAATAAAAATAAATAAATAAATAAAAATTATTTCATGCCAGTTCATGGCAATAATGCATATCAAAGTTTTTCCATTTTAAAACCATTGACCTTTGTTGAACCTTACCAACGAGATTCTGCAGTCATGTGATAAGGCTCAGGGAGACCAGATGTGGAAGAAAAGACCATGTGGCTCAACCCCTCATTTCGACCTTTGAGGCTGTCAAAGGTCATTTATTCCACCCTTTAGGCTGTCGAAATCAGATATGAAAGGACTGACACATGACATTCGCTCGAGAAAATGCTGCAAGAAGAGTACGAGGAAATATTGTGGACCATGTATCTGGTCAATAACATTAAGCTTTATAATATTAATATTATATTATTATATTTTTATTCGATGAAACATGAATACTAAGTGAAAATCAAGTGTATAAGATTGCCGATAAGAAAGAAGACAATAACAGAAAAAGAAGTCTAAAGAAGTTAAAAGAACCATTTATATTGTGTGGCTTTGCTTGCGACATAAATGGAAGAGTGTCTAGAGTTGATGTGCATTTGCACAGCTTTGAGCTGCATGTCGTTGCAGCCGTGGAGATGGTGTTCAGGTCTGTCCACACTCAATAGGAAGGAGACCATAAGGCACCATATCTGATCTCTTAAACTGAAAGTCAGGTGATTTGGGGAGATACCTGCCGGCGCACTGTAAAATAGTGCCAGAGAGCCAGTTTGAATTCAGCCACAGACAATGAATCAGCACTAGGCCAAGTCAATCACCACACGAGTAGTCCCGTGCAGGCGCAGCCCAAAGTGACACATGGCAGCCATGTATCCGGACTTTTTTTGTGGAGGGGTTGCCCGGGTCTCTCTCTCTCTCTCTCTCTCTCTCTCTCTCTCTCTCTCTCTCTCTCTCTCTCTCTCTCTCTCTCTCTCTCTCTCTCTCTC